ATGACATAGTGTTAGATGAAAGAACGCTCTGGCCATATGCTACAAAATGAATGTTACACAGAAACGCAACGAATAGGGAACATTTTAAAGTGCATTCGTTAAAAAATATAGTTTTTTCCTTTCAAACTCTCATCCATGAACAGAAGTTGATTCTCAACCAGAAGTTAATCGAAAGACTATCCTGATATTACAAATAGGATCAGTATTTCGACTGTCATCTCATCGACTTTGCAAAATCATCCGTCATCCTAATTCTCGCAAAAGGCACTGACAAAGTTAAGATCACTATTTCATTAATACATTAATGATAATCGGTCCTAATTAGTTGTAGACTTTCAAACTGAATTATCAGCATCAAAAGCTCATGATATATAACGGCGACTAAAACATAACATTTAATTACATCGACATGAGCCAAGTTACAAATGAAGTTAATAGACAATGTTAATATGGTGTTTATATTTAACCATAGTTGGAAAGGGATTCAGAAACGATGAAATTTACGACTATGTTTGGAAAAGAGCAGTGATGTGGCGAAAATTGGAAATAATCTTCGAAATGTGATATTAAATTCTGTTAGGTTAAGGCTCATAATTTTTTCATTATCTTTCCGTTGTTATCGGTTTGCACTAATGGAACACTCCTAAAAATACACTATCATTCAGCGTCAACAACTCGGATGTACTCCGCTAAACGAATTTGACAAATTCAACGGAAGACCCGCCCATTGCGATTGCAACGACACATTTAACTCGTTTATATCGCACACAACGTGCGAACAAATCCTTTCATCCGAAGATAACCTGCCATGATAAGCGAAAAAAAATCGGAAATAGCTTTCAGTTTGATTTCAGTTGCGTTTTATGATGAGAAATGCATATATAGCAAGGTTCGATGATTTTTAAGATTACGTAATTCACGAGTACAATTATTTAGTTGCATTCAAATCATTCTAACTTGGAATGAATGACAAATATTAATGAAATATAATGAATATTCACTGAAAAAGAAGTTTTTTAGCCAATCAAACATTTCGGGCGGGACTGGCACAGATACTGCTTCGAGTGAATTTGCTTAAGAGACTGATTTGATAGAATGCATTTATCTAAAGTTTTATGGGCGGCTCGGAACATTAGATTTTTTCGCCGGACATGCTTTATCGTAGGGCTAGGGGAGTGAAAAATCTTTCAAACTAATAGAATCAAAATTGATGGACTTGATGTTGAGTATCGCACAAATTATAATTATACGCTCCGCTTCACTCTAAGGCTTTGGTCGAAAAAGTTCGTGTCTTCGAGCCATTGAAGTGAAAATTGCTTCTAAAGACAGTGCTGATCTATTTTTTTGTAAGCACACGTTGGCTTCATCAAAATTCAAACAGGATTCCAAATCTCTCGACGCTCACTGCAGAGAATACTTGTAACATAGAATTTTCATCACACAAAAGACTGTGTGACGAAAAGGACTTGAAAACTTTTGCTCTAAGGAAACGATCAAAAACTGATGAATCCAATATTACCAACAGTTTTTCTTCACCCGTAACATAATAATAATTATGCGCTCCGCTTCACTCTTTCTACTTCGTAACCTCACATTCATTTGTTCATTTCCGTGAATTTAATTTCGCACATTCATTTGCACTATTTACTTCATCATTCAAATGAACAAATCTTTGTTGTCTATACTTACTGCCAACGCTCAGAGATGAATCTGATACACAAAGTTCGAACATCTTATTGAATCACACGGAAACAATCGTGAGAGATGACAGAACTGTTCATAAAACATCGTAGTGCTGTGAGAACGGAACACGATGAATGAATGTGAAGTGAACGCACACCAGTTCACACTTTGACAGCTCAACTTCGTCCACTGTTCAAATGCTTCTGATGAACATGAAAATATTTTCATAAAGTTCAAACAATCGGCATCTGAAAAACTGAATCGAGATTTTTTTATGAGTGAACGCCATATCGAACCAATCAAGCAGTGAATGCTGGTGATCAAAAAGCTGCAAGTAATCAGAATACGAGACATCAAAATTGTTAGCGCCTTAGAAAGAAACAAAAATTGTTCATTTCGACGTGTTATCGAATAACGAACGCTTGATGTATCGTTTATAAATGAACTGAAATAAACGATGAAATTTAAAACGTTAAGAACGGAGCCACGCTTTTCACACGTTTTTCGAATGGTTTTATCTTTTCAGTCAATATAATCGTATCACTATCCTCCGCATGTATTTTTGCATAAATGACGTGTGCAAATTGAGTTGACGAAACGCAAATTGTCAAAGATTTCCACAGTATTCGCACACGATTTCCAAGGGCTGTATCGCTTAGAAACATAAAGTTCCATCGTAAATATCAGTTAACAGATTCTATGCGAACTTCCACTCGTGCTAATTGCTGACTGAAGAATGCTTCACACAAATATTCTTGCCAAACTGCATCATGAGTCTGGAACAACGATCAACTGCTAGGGTTTTGAAAACTCACGCACGAATTGAAAAACGCGGTCTTGATAGATGAACTCCCAAAAAAGAATCCAACAGATCCAGTGTAAAAGCGTCTATGATACTCAGTCATAGTAAAAACAGTAAAGGCACACAATTATTCTTTATTTTAACACCATCAATAACTCATAAAATAACCACACAAGATATAAAACTGAATATGGAACACAGTACCTTTTATGCGCTGATAATTATTAGAGAATAGAATAATAACGCGGTTGTCAGTTCTTCTTTCTCACAATTAAAGATTGTGCCAAAAATGATGCTTCGTATTAATTCAACTGAACCTTCTTTTACGAGATGCGTAGTGATTCGAATTTGTTAACAACAATAACATTTTAAGGCACGCAATTTTGCAATTTGCCGTGTTTCGCCCTTCCAACGACTCGGCATCTCACGTCACCGTAACAGAAAGAATGAGAACTCTTCCTTTCCGTTACCTAGAGTGAAATAACCGAACGATCAATATACGACATAAACTAGCTGACGCACTTAAATTAATTGCATCCTTCCACGTGTCTAACCTACTACGTTCAATTTCAATCCTCAAACAAAATATCACCAAATAATTGCACTCTCTCCTTTGTAAAATTGCTACACTTTCATAATCATACATCTAAACTTTTCTTTACATATTTAGTATCAGCACACTGATCCTGCATAATGCATCTGAAAGCCTGCACTCTAGGCCTGCAGAATCGTTTCTCATTCTTCTCACTCCACTGAGGATGGCCAAAGACACCGCAACGTTGGTTGGATGAAATGCGGCAAAGTGCTTGGGTGTGTACTAAAATATCATTTTTATTGAATTCCAATCACCCTGCACCTTACAAAAGAGTGTTCAACTGAAAAAACTGAGATGCGTGGATTTGGACGCATCTCAATTCCCTGAGGCTTTGAATTGCATGCGATTGCGTCAAAGAATCATTGCTGGACGTTTGAATGAAGCACAGCTTCGAAACGTTCCACAAAACACTTAAATATGACAGAAATGAAAGCGACGATGAATACAATAAATTACTCGCATAAACACTGCAACAAACGAGCGAATACTTTCAAAAAATCACTTTGCATTTCTAGATTAGACATGTGACGGGCATTCTCAACAAACAATACATATATTTGTGAATTGTGCCGTTCCGAAACATCAGAGATAAAATTTTACTTGCGTTTCACTGATCTTCAAAGATAATGAAGACGATAGTATGGTAATGCCTACTTTCACCCGATTGGTGTTATTCAGTTAGAATTCAATTATGCGAGTGGGCTTTTTTGAATGCACATTCAGAAGTGGATACAAAGAATTATAAATGTTTGAGTTGAACGACTGAAACTGACTGCCTGAAGATAGAAAATTTAAGATCTCTAACTCTATTTGAAGGATGCGAGTAACAAAAATTAATAATAAACTTTTGAAATGAGCTAAATTGTTGCTTATGAACGAGCTCAAAAGAATGATGCGTAAATGATGCGAGCCCATCATAAGATAGTCAAAACGATCCGATCGTTGGCACAATTAATTCGAAATTGTGAGCAAACAACTTGAAACTAACTATGCTACTCAGAATATTGAAATATTAAATTCCTAATGATCAGTAATACTCGGTTTTAACGTCACAAACAAACATGGAAAATTATGCGTTAATTTTATGATAACCTTCATAATCGATTATATGGTTCAGTGGAATAAGAAAATATCCATCTGCATTACTTAGCGGGCAGTGCTTATTCTACCCTATTCACTGATTAAAAATTACAGATAATTGCGATCAACAATGAGGCAAAATTCTACACAGAAAAAAGTATTACAAATATGTCAAATATATAGAACAACAAAATAATTGATAATAAGCGAAAGAAAATTGAAAGGTTACAAAAAANAAAAAACGAAAAAATATGAATAATGCGCTGTTGAAACAATGAATCGACAGTTGTATATCAACGCACTGCATTTGAACTAATGAGGTAACGGAAGAGATATTTCACATAGAGAGCACCTTCACAAATGATACAAAACGTCAGTAATTCAACAAACAATTCACATGCCCTGGGAGGATTTATTTGCATGACCCAAGGATATATCAAATAAGACACGAATTTCCATATACGGTAACAACATTCTTCCAGAAAAACAAAAGTGCAATTGTCTAAAGTTTTTCATTTAGGATCGTGAGTTGGCAATAACATCAAATTATTTGAAATCCTGTGTGATTAGTATTCAGATTAAACTAAGATGTGATATTGCATTCGGATTTGACATAAGGACGTTTCTGCAGCTCAGATTTATAGAGAATGAAATCAGAAAAGAATTTTCCACAGTTTTTTAATCTTGAAAAACCTTGATTGTTAATTGAAGATTAATATTTCAACGATAAAGAACGTAATCATAGAGACGAAAATGAAGCTTACATCAACAGCAAACAAAATGAAAAATTGATGGACTGAAAGTTGGGCATCGATCTGGCATTCGGAAGCAGCATTATTCTCATAGTTGGCGCCACTTGCGTATCGCTTGTGCAACGAGTTTATCAGTTCGAAAGTAGACACAGATTTGGTAGAAGACGATCAGATAAACGATGAGCATGATCAACTGCAGCAATCTCATCAATCGCGGATTATCCGAGAGGATATCCATATCGAAGAATGACGTTTCGTTTTGCGACTTCAACACACTATCTGACTGAATTTGCTGCAAATGTGTCACTCAGTTATTGTGTTACACTCCACTTGAATATGTTTTAGGAAAGTGATTGTAGCATTTGAATGTTTCGAGCTATTACAATGTCCACAATTAGGACAGTGAGAAATTCAGAAAACGATGCAATAGCAGCTTGAATTCGCAGATTTTTTCGGATCATTTCGTACCATTCGTGTCACTTCATTACGAAACGCAATTTACAAATGATACTGCAATCAAATACTAACCGAATGTGAGTTACGACGGAATGTGAAATTTTGTTATTTTGATTAGTGAAGTCTTATTTCATCTGCTGAGGACAAAATGCGATCGAAAATAGAAAAAATTTTCTCACTGTTTTGAAATCCGGAAACTCTGACATGAGGACATAAACTCAAATGATATTACGACGAACTTCACTGATGAAACTATCGAATTTATACACCAAATTATAATCATCTAACAATAAAGAATGAAAGTAATAGGCAGAAGTACAGTAAACTTCAATTTGAAACAATTCTTTGCCCTAATCAGACTACTTATTTGTTCTCGGGATCTTGTCCTTTCAAAGTTACCAGCTTATTTACAAATATTCTAAAGGTTACGCAAACATCGCATAGCAACACATAAGCACAGAAACCTTTGGTTTTTCATCATTATTATCTGTCTTAATGACTCCGTTCGCTGCACGTTCGGCGATTCGAGTCGATCGACGAAAGCTCAAGTTGGGCGAGACCTCGCTGGCTACGGTTATCGTTGGTGTGATCTAAACAAGGAATTCAGTTGGACAGTTGAAAACATTGATCAAAGAACAGTATCAATGATCAACTGAATCAGTAAGATTAAAGAATGTCGAGCTGCTCGATATGGAAAGTGTCAGGTTAGCCTTTCTGCTGAAATACGACACAGCGATTACACGAGTCGAGCTGATAAGAAGAACCACAAGAGAAAAAGTTATTTGCACGAAAACTTGTTCTAGATATTCGATATTATACACCCTTCAGTAAGATATTCAGAAATCGTTACAAATTTGCTTAAATGCCACGCAGTACCAAATAGCAGCTGAATAGAGAAACAAATAATTGAACTTTATATACGTATCCGATGGCTTCAGGATCTGAAACTATCAGATACTGCTCCAAGTTACTGAATTACGATTTCTACAATACCAGTGAACGCATGAGCATCTATATTTGACGAACAAACCGCAGTTTCTGTGTCCGAAGTACGACGGATAGATTTGATTGGAGTGGATTTACGACTACGGCTTCTTGAACGCGATCTCGTACGAGCCACACCTTTTTGCTTATTGGCCATCACGACTGACCCGTTTGTTTCAGATGTTTTCGCTTTTGGATGAGTCATCTAAAAATAGATGGATCATGTCAATAAACTGCAGTATGATGAAGCCAGCAAAACGAAGGAACCATTCGAACAGCCACTGAACTGAACAATTAACCCGAACGGCAAAATTACGGAAGAGCAATCCTTTCAAATGACCGGTTTGTCAAATGTTACTTCTCTGATCTGATATCACTGAACATATGAAAGCCATTAAGTTTACGCAATACGCTCAGAGAACTGGACAACATTGCCGTGAATGAATGGAACATATCGAATGAGCACTATCAAATGCGACTTATGCGATATCGCACTCGGAATACAACAAAGTAAACAATTCTACATAAAAGGAGAGAANGGAAATTTTATCGCTGCTCCAATGAGAGACAAATTCGGAATCTTCATGCCAAATAATGTCGCACAATTTTCATTAGATTAAGTTCAATCCCCTAATCGAAATGCAATAATGAAATGCAATAACCACGCTATGATATCAAATAATTGTGAGTTTCAGATTACAAAATATCGTTCTCTCTGATCCACTTCAACTCCACTTTCGAAACTACTTGTTGTGAATTTGATCTGATGCAATCAGTGATTCCAAAATCGTGCAAAAACCCGTATGGATGCTACTTTATTGGAGCATATTTCATCAAATACATTTAAACACCAGTACAAATTCATCAAATGCCTTATTTGGTCTCCATCAAACCAAACCCTCTAGGGTTTTAATAAGTTGACTGTCGTTCAGTTCGATTCACTAACTGTGCTTGTATCGTACTTATTTGATTATATTTTTTGAGTAGTTATAATTCTTCAAAAAGTATTTTGCGCTACCCAAGCATATGACACATTTCGAATGGAATCATGAAGATACTGAACGAAATAAAGCAATAGCTGCAAGCAAGAACTGCATAAACTATTCTAACCTTTAGTTGCGAAATAACAACTATTATTCTTTCAAACAAGGATGGAATATCGCAATCGAAAGAAACTTTCATGAGATAACTTAAGAGATGAATGTAAAACACAAAATACCCGAAAGATTACAAATGACACTAGTTAGCACTATGCGTAAAACGTCAACAAACGGAAATGATTAAAGACTACATATGTACAGTGACGGCGATAACACACTGAGTGCTAAAATCCATAGAAGATATGAACAGTGGGTAGCAAGGATGTTCAATTGCTGTCAATGGGTGAAGTGAAAAGGGAGAGGGCAAACGAGCAAGAGCACGAGAGGTCAGGTCAACGCGAACATCAACAACCTTGCCAAGGGTACACACCAACAACAACAAGACCGCACACCACCCCTGCAACTGATCGATAATCACTCCCTCTCTGATCGCCCATCGTTAATTTATGTCCCATTAACAGTGTTTATAAGCATAGAGAAGAGGTTATTCATCGATCAACAGGAATAGTCTACTGCAGATAGTCAGAGAGACTGAACAATATCTTCATTATCTTTTTGAAAATTCAGAAAATGTCGAACAAACCAGGAAATTGATGGGAATTTTATGAATTCACTCATCTGAAAAACCAATCAAAAATCGCTTGCAGAATTATACGAGGTTCATAGTGTATCGTGCAACAAGATAAGGAATGACATGGGAAGTGAGTGAATTCGATAAGAAAATTGTTGGGGAACGGCTGACAAAACGAAGTTATTAACACTCAAATGACCAACGCAGAATGCAAGATATCAAAGAATTAACTGCTAAGATTTAGGTCACGATGATTCAGGTGATTCACGCGCACATGGACGAATGCTCAGTCGAAGACGACAATCTGATAAAACTCGTCAAATATGGAAAAGATAAATCATGACTTTACATACATCAAACGTGAATGTGATATGCAACTAATAGTTGATTATTGGAATCGTCAATTTGATGAACAACATACGCAATGATCGGCATTTCATGCTGAATATCATGGATGCAATTATACTCTAACATCAAGTCCAGCAAGAATCTTACTGATCTTTCTGAAAAACTATGGATGCCTGTCCAGTAACAAAAAATTGAGGAATTTTGAATGGGTTTCATTCTTTACAGATCAAAAATGGTTAGCTGTTGTGGAAAACTGACCAATTTTCTACTTCATTTGCATCGTCACGTTTGGTTTACTAACATTGAATGAAGCAGGATGTGATAAGCTTTACGAGAAATGTGAAAATCGAGACGAAGTGATTATGTACATATTCGTTACAAATGACTAAATACGGTGAACGAAGTGAACATGAAAATTATTTTAAATGGATGGCGAACATCTCTGCGTTGTATTAGAAATTCAAACTTTTCGTTAAAAAAAGTTGAAAAGGATCATATAAAAAAGCCTATTGCTTTTAAATGAGGTATCGCAAAAAAATCTTTCATCTACTTAATAAATGACATGATGTTTCAAGGAAAGCGTAAAATCAAAAATTACACTTGTTGCATTTCACAACGGGAAATCCAATGAATAAGCCGGTGATTATGGAAAAGTAAACAGTGAAGAATTGAATGATCGTATGAAACAAATTGAATAAAGTGAAAAAATTATGAGTTGCAATATGGGAAATATTCGTTAATTAGAAAACACTCGCACTGACTCACGGCTTTGCGCAGTCATTGCAAGCGATAGAATAATGATATAACTCGTTAAATTTTCATTAATGTGAAACAGGCAATACCTCTTTAGCCGGAGCATTTACTCGAGACACAGTTTTGTTGCTCTTGGGACTTTTCTGACTGGGTTCATATATTTCATCTTCAGTTTCAGGAGCAGTTGAACTTTCACTATCATAATACGGTCCCTTAAAATGTTGAAATTACATTCGTAACAATCTCAATTTGGAACGAAACTGAAAAACGATTGCCTATTTTCGAGCAGTTCGAGGAGTTACACAATAACTCTCGAGAGAACCGGTTTTGTCTGATATTTTATTTAAAACGGTTTCTCGTGAAAAAAAACAAAACATGAAGTGCTCATTGTACGACAATAATGTAAAACGTGTAACAGATAGGATCGACTGATAATGGAAAGGATAATGTTCTGCAAACAGCTTTTATGAAACAGATTGAATGTAAGAAATACCACATCAATATCGGCGTAAAGAGGAGTTGAAGTAACACTAGGCTTGAAGAAGTCTTGAACCCAAACAGGGGCTTTATGAGTTCGCGAACTCCGTCGCATACTCATGTCGATGGTGGAACGGAACTGATCTTGATGAAAACGCGACTGCAACGACGAAGTCTGCTTGCAAGCAAAACTGAAAATCATCAAAGAAATTTTCAAAAAGTGTTCAGATGCATTCCAGTTTCAATCACGACGCAAACCACCAGTAATGCTTCGGACAATGAAGTTTCTCCATAGTCAAATACAAGTATACAGCATTTCCACACACAACTTGACCATGATTTTGATATCGCCATTGCGGATAATTATTACAATTAACGCCAAAAGTAAAGAATGCCTTCAACAGTAAATTCAAACGAGGCATTTTGGCGCAATTTCATTGCGAGCATTCCATTGGTTTAGTGCAGCAGTAAATTCAGAGGAGGTTCTACAATGTAAGATGTGGGTTGGGAGTGTGGTGTGCGACGAACGAGACAATGGGCGTGTACCGAGGCAGCGGTAACCCAAAAGAGAGAGCAACGCGCATCAGCGTTTTTCAAACCTCGACAACAGAAGAGAACGCGTAAGAAATGTGTGACGAATGTGGCTGAGATGGAGAGAGGAACGATGATTTGAGTGAAGCACGATGCCCAGTTGGTGCGATTGAAGCACTGTCAAACGATCCAATTGTTCACTCAAAGAACGCCATCGAGCAAAATACCGTGACAATTACGAGCATTTAAACCTTGGAAAGATGCGAATCCTCTGCCCGTTCTCCCTGTCAAAATCGCTTCGTTCCAAAAATCGCTCACTCAGTTGTAGTATTCAGCATCAGTCGCGATGCAGTGTTTCATTTTGATAAGCATTCATCATATCCATCAAAGTGGGTTTACTTGGAATAAATTGCAAAACACAAAGTATAAATTTACTTGTTATAAAGCATAGATTTACTCTTGTTCACACGAATTTTTAAAGTACAAT